TCTGCTGTTGCTGTGCTCGTTCGCAGAAGATATTTCGGGTTGAAGGCAAGACGCAGCCCCAGCCGACAGCAGTCAAGCACCCAGCTCGTCTGGCAGTGTGTGTGTGTGTTTTGTGTGAGTGTGTGAGTGAGTGTGTGTGTGTGTGTGTGAGTGAGTGAGTGAGTGAGTGTGTGTGTGAGTGAGTGTGTGTGTGAGTGTGTATGTGTGTGTGTGCGTGGGTGTGCGTGTGTGCTTTGCAGTTCAGGAACTGAGACGACGCGACTACGGAGCACGCGCGCATGATCAATCCTCGGCCTCCGCCACATCTCCTCGCCTTGACAATGTCGATGTCTTGCGGGAGAGCGCGGACCGTGATGTTCTCCATATCAGAGACCGGCAGCACACCCTCCTCGTACCGCTGCACCTGAAGGGCGAGGGGGGGGGGTGGTGTTCACAACAGGTAGCGGCGGTCAGACTGTTTTGTGGTCTAGGAGGTGGGCAAGCACGCACATTCACACACACACACACACACACACAGACACACACACACACGGACACACAAAGACACAGACACAGACACACGCACAAACATTCACACACTGACCGGTGTGCCGCCAAACTCCTTGATTTTCCTCTCAATGTCCTGTTTGGACATGACGCGGCGGGTGATGCGATCAATGCCAATCACGCGGAGGCGCAGGCCACTGAAGATCTTCGATCTGCAACGAAGAAAAACACGGGGGAGGGGGGATGTAAATGTGAGGGCTTGCATCCACGGGTGTGAAGTGGGGGTGGGGGTGGGGGAATGGGTATCAACGTGAACCAACAGACAGACAGAGAGGCAGACAAACACACACAAACACACATGTACAGACACACAGAAACACACACACACACACACACACAAAACAGCGCAAACACACGCACACACTTCTCTTTGATATCTGAGAGGTCGGCTGCCTTGAAATGCTCTGCAACCCTAAACGAGGCGGTGGTGCGTTTTGCGCGTTTAGCCTTCAGTTTCCCGTTGTCCGCGTTGAAGTGGTGGTCCTCCAGGGCGCGGTGGGCAATTTTCCCACTTGCCCGATCATACAGTGGCATCAGCTCTGTCTGCAGCATGCACTCCCACCAATTCTGGTGCAGATGCAAACGAAAACGCATGTGTTGCGGACGCACAAAGCGCAGGCGTCTGTGAATTTACAAGGGAAGGCACCACAGCCCACAGCGGCAAGTGCAATCCTACTGTTGCACTCACAACACTCGTTATGCCACGACGCGTACCACCCACAACACTCCACAACTCTACGCAAACCATCCTCGACACTCCTCAACTACTCTGCAACAGAGCACTCCCAAATTGTCCAAACACCATCTTCCATCGTGCAACACCGACCCATCCACCAAACACCACCCCCAGCAATGCTCCACACCTTGTCGAGACGAAACCGCTGGAGACGGGGGAAGCGGAGGGTGAAGCGTGCAGCAAACTTTTCCGTTGGGCAGATCTCAGCCGCCTTCACCTGCACGATAATCGACTCTTCAGGCTCAATCCACACGTCGGGCTTCTCCTTGAAACCGGGCATGGCCAGCCGCACCCTTGTCCGGGAGGTGTGTGTGTGTGTGTGTGTGTGTGTGTGTGTGTGTGTGTGTGTGTGTGTGTGTGTGTGTGTGTGTGTGTGTGTGTGTGTGTGTGTGTGTGTGTGTGTGTGTGTGTGTGTGTGTGTGTGTGTGTAATGGCGATGAGATGGAGGCGGGGGAGTAGGAAAGGTGAACGGGCGTGGGTAGATTCGAAACAGCCCAGGCAGACTGGCAGGCTGGCAGACACACGTGTCAGCTCACTTTCTTGACATGGACATATTTCGGGGATCTGTGTTGAATGTTTTCCAGTGCGGGCGTAACCGCGCCTGGATCTCCCGCAGCTGTTTCAGAGAATAGCCAGTCCCAACCTACGATTGAGCGTTTGCATGTGTGTGTGTGTGTGTGTGTGTGTGTGTGTGTGTGTGTGTGTTTGTGTGTGTGTGTTTGTGTGTGTGTGTGTGTGTGTGTTGGAGCGCGAGCGGTAGAAAAAGGGCAGCTTCACAAACGCGGCGCGCGCATCAAACAGCACGTATGCCCTCTTTCTTCCGCAACGTGTTCCTTCCTTGTTGATCAACCTCAACGGATCCACCCGCCCAAGCCACTACCACCCACCACAACCATCATCACCATCATCATCACCGTACCTTGCAAAACGTGTTGAACATGGTTGGTTTCTCGCCTGGCTGCGGCGGCTCAGCGACAGCGAGGAGGAAATGCGAAATGCCGCCCGAGCGACGTGTGCCCTCCCTGCAATCGTTTGTGAGGGGGGGGGGGCAGAGGCGGACGGGGTTCAATAGCAGTTCTGCAATGCAGGAATGAATGGGCAGAGGCAGAGGCAGAGACAGAGGCAAATAGACGCACACACACACACACACGCACACACACAGACACAGACAGACATCACACACACGCACACACACACACACACAAAGACACAGACAGACATCACACACACGCACACACACACAAAGACACAGACAGACATCACATGCAGACATCACACACGAATGTCACGCGCATGACACCGTCCCACCCGTGGTATCCGCCAACAACGAGGAGGTCGAGGTCATCTGCGAGGGTGTCGACATATTCGGGCTTCCACTTCATCCAGGCCTTATCGCGACGGCCCAGCAGATACTTTGAGTCGAGATCCTTGATCATCACACCTTCCTCCCGCTCGTCAATGGCAGCGTTTGCAAACTTGAGGAAATCATCGTTGCTGCGCCCAATCTGAACAGTGCGACCAGAGGAAGTGCGCGATTGAGGGAGGGGGTTATGTGTGTGTGTGTGTGTGTGTGTGTGTGTGTGTGTGTGTGTGTGTGTGTGTGTGTGTGTGTGTGTGTGTGTGTGCAAGTGTGGGTTTGCCAGCCTGTTTGTCTTGATGCAGCAACCAGACAAGCAACGTATTCGCAATCAATCACTTCGCCAAGCACCACATGTCCCTCGCCCCACCCCGAATGAGCCCACCTTATAGTCTGCCAGGATGATGCGTTCGTTGTCTGGGGTGATGATGCGTGCAAGCATTTCCTTGCGCTCCCTCAAGGGCCGGTCGTACCAGGGCTCTCCGTTGAGCAGCACGAGGTCAAACACGATGTAGCACTGGATCGCCTGTTGCGTCGGCGGGAGGGGGCGGTGTGAGGTTGGGGGTTGGAGAGTGAAGAGGGAGGCGAGGGCTAAGCAGAGGAAAGACATGCAGCGATAGTTGAGATGGCACAAGCACGCAGTCATACACACACAGACACAGACACACACGCAGACACACAGACACACACACACACACACACACACATACACAGACCGTTGGGTATCTGTCGCGCGTGACGCCTGGGCGGCCAAGGGCCTTGACATCGAAGTTGTCGCCTTTCACAATGACCGATTTCGACTCGCGATCAAACCCGACCATCTCCCCATCCAGGATGCACGTCTTCACAGACCTGCGGGGTGCGTGCGCGTGTATGTATGTGTGTGTGTGTGTGTGTGAGAGAGTGAGTGTGCGTGTGTGTGTGAGTGAGTGTTGTGTGTGTGTGTGTGTGTGTGTGTGTGTGTGTGTGTGTGTGTG